GCTGCAGCACCCCCTGGGGCCCCTCGGGGCCTCTGTGGCTTGCAGCGAGGGTGCTGGGTCACTGACCTGACTCCTGGGGCCTCCGGGGTGTGTCGGAAGCAAAAGACAGTGACTTTGAGTCTGGGGAAGCAGTGGTCGAGGGCCCCGCGGACTGCGAGGAAAAGGCCCGGGAGAGGCGCAGCAGCGCAGTGGAGGCCGGCGAGCCAGGCGCACATGGGGTGGAAGGTGTCTGTACACCCCAAGTGGCAGCAGCGGACGCATGCGCCCCCCGACACCCCACACAGCGAGCAAGCAGCAGCAAAACGCCACGCAGCAACTTCCCCCAACTCCCAGGGCTCCAGCCGCTGCAGCTCCGCGCAAATCGCCTCCGGCATCAAAAACAAGCAGCAAAATATGTGCACCCAGCCCCCGCTCGTGCTCGGCTTCAGCGCCCCGCCCCCGCGGCAGCAAATCTGAGCGCCAGCAGCAGCAGCAGCAGCAGCGTCATCACCAGCAGCAGCACCATCATCAGCAGCAGGAGCAGCATCAGCACCAGCAGAACACCCCCACCCCCACCCCCACCACCACCATCATCATCAGCAGCAGCAGCACCACCACCACCACCAGCATCAGCAGCAGCAGCAGCAGCAGCGTTGCTGACGAGGCACTTGGGGTGCATGGGCTTGAAGACGGCCATCCACTGGGTGCCGAGGGCCCTCTTGTCGACTTCGCAGCGGCGGCAAATCCAGTCTTCAGGCTCGAGGGCTTCGCCGAGGCGGCCAACGCCGTAGCAGTTTTTGTGGCAGCAAAAGAGGCAGCGGACGCAGGAGAGCAGCGGGTTGAGCGCTGAGCCCTCGCTGCCCCAGCAGACGCAGCAGCAAACGAACTCGTAGCCCACGCCCAGCGCGCCCCCGCACAGCAGAAAGCTGCTGCTGCTGCTGCTGCTGCTGGGGGCGGGCGGGGTCGGCGGCGAAGCCGCGGCGCTCACTGACGCCACACTGCTGCTGCTGCTGCTGCTGCGGCAGGACGCGGACGCAGCTCCAGAGGCGCCCACGGAGGACGGAAACGGGGAAGCAGCGCGGGACTCGCCACGCGGGGGAACTGCTGCTGCTGCTGCGGGGGTCGCGGTCTCAACAGCAGCAGCAGCAGCAGCGGCGGCGCGACACGAACTTCGCTGCCGCTCGGACGCCGCGGACGAGCTGCACACACACCCCAAATCCAGCAGACGGAATAGCGCACCACCACAGCAGCAGCAGAAACAACAGAAGCAACAGCAGCAGCAGCCAAGGCCTACTTCGGGGCTCCTGCTGCTGCTGCTGCTGCAGGCGAATCTAGGCCACGCGGCGCGTCTACGCCTCGCAGCAAACCCCTCAACGGGGGCCTCGGAGCGACTGCTGCATTTTCTTTGGGAAGGGTGCCTTCCTGCTGCTCGTACAGCTTCAGTGCTGCTGCTGCTGCGCTGCCAGAGTCTGCAGCAGCAGCAGCAGCAGCTGCTGCTGCTGCTTCCTCTGCCGCCTCCGCGAGGTCGCTCACAGGAGGGCCCTCCTCCGGCGCAGGCTCCGGCTGCTGATTGAAAAGCTGCCGCTGCTGCTGCAGCTGCTGCTCGGGGCTGCCCGCGTGGCTCTTTCCGGCGGCTTCTGCAAACTGCTGCGCGACGGCCTCCAGCGCTGCAGCCATGTCTTTGTCTTTGCTGCCGTCGCTGCTGCTGCCGCTGCTGTTGCCACTGCTGCTGCTGCTGCTGCTTGGCTTTGCCGGGGCCTCGGTGGGCCCCGCAGCCTGAGTTTCTGCCCTGGCTTCCCCGTGCTGCGCGCTGCCTTGCGGGCTGCCCTGTGTGTCCCCTGGGCGCTGGTGCTGCTGCTGCGGTTGCTGCTGCTGCTGTTGCTGCTGTTGCTGCTGTGGCTGCTGCTGTTGCTGCTGTTGCTGCTGCTTCGCCGCGGGCGACCCCACGGGCGCCGCTGCTCGCGCTGCAGCAGCAGCAGGAGCAGCAGCAGGCAAAAAGGGCGGGAGTGGCAGGGGGGGCGCCGCCCC